CCCCAAAACCCCAAAACCCCAAAACCCCAAAACCCCTTTTTAGGAAAAGTAAATTGAGTAGAAATTTGATAACAAAATTACTCAAAGATTTGACTGTAGTCTTCTTCAACATCTGGATATCCAGCAGCACAGTCTCTTTCAATGGCGTTGTTGTCTGAATGCATTTTGATTCTGAAGAAGCCACCTTCTCCCCAGTAAGTTCCCCATGAGTTTCTACCAATCCAGTACTCAGTTCCTGTTTCTTGGTCAACTCCATAACCAACGAGGGAAATGATGTGGTTGATTGAAGTTTGTCCTTTCTCTTCGAAGATTCCTCCCTTATAATTGTGGAAAGCTTCGGTGGAGTCAATTCCGCAACTGATTGGTCCGAAAGTAGCAATTTCTTCTTTCATAGCTTGAGCTCCACTGAAGCTTCTTACTTTCTTAGATTTGTAGCGGTTGTAGTTCTCGACAGGCCAACATTTGTCAAATCCTGTCTCGTCAGCTGGGGGAGCTGGTCCAACGCATTCTCTGCATACATTGAATGCAGAGCAGATATCATCAGCATTGTGAGCAATGTATTGCTCGCAAGATCCGTGAGGAATACCATTTTGTTGGGCATATCTGTAAACTTGTCCATGGAATCCTCCACTGCAGTCTCCTCCTGCATGGCAGTTAACAATTGCTTGGGCAGAGAGAGAAAGCTGAGGCTCACTGGTCTTTCCTAGAGTTAACCAATTGTAGATATTGAATCTATCAGCCAAAGCTGAGGTACTTCCTTCAGCCCAGCATGATCCGCAGTAAATTGGGATGTGTTGGTTCTTGTTCCAGGAGAGATAGTTCTTTCCTTCGTAGTTTCTCCAGTCAATGGCTTCTGGTACTTCATCATTCATCTCTTGGATTTGTTCTGGGACAAAGTTTCTCTCTTCCTCAGTCCATTCACCTTCAATGTAGCAACTATGAGTGTATTCTTTTTCTTTGATCAATTTTTCTACCTTTTTAGTTGGATAAGGTCCATTGGTATAATCATTTCTAGGATCTTTCCTTTCTTCATCAGTGGTAGTGTGATAAGCTTGATCAGTCCAGGTATCTTCAGGAATTCCAAAAGCACAATCACTCTCTATACCAATGTTGTTTACACCTCTGACAACTTTGAAGAATCCTTTCTCTCCCCAGGTCTCTCCCCATGAGTTTCTAACATGCCAATATTTAACACCATCTTCGACTCCGTATCCAACGACAGAGATTCCGTGGTTAAGGTCAGAAGCGCCGGTCTTGTCTTCGAAGATACCTCCAGTGTAGTTGTAGTAAAGTTCATCAGTAGCATCGATGGCACAAGTGATTGGTCCATTCTGGGAAATCTCAGCCATCATGTCCTTCTCACCTGAAATTCTTCCGAATTGAGCAACTTTGTAAGTTTTATAGGTATCTGGGATAAAGCAGTCGTCGTAAGGGTTGCAGTTTCTACATTTGACGACTGGAGCACACTCATACCCATTATCGTGACCTCTTGCATGATAGATAGAGCAAGTCTCGTCAGTAAGTTCGTTCTCGTTTCCAAATTGGAAAGCAGTAATCATATCTCCACCATGACACCCATTGTCTTCCATTGAGCAGGATACAAAGACTTGTGGAGCAATGTTGACGTCTGGCCAAGCTCCCTTTCTCATGATCTTAATTCTGTCAGATAGTGAACTAGCTACGCATTGAGCCCAACAAGATCCGCAGTACTGAGGGAGGTGTTGGTTCTTGACCACAGTGAGATAGTTAGTACCATCGACATCGTTCCACAATTTCTCCTCTGGAACTGAATCATAGTCATACATGTAGTCAGCTTTGATGTTTCCTTGAACATCTAAGTCTGATTTTACATAGCATGGTTGCTTTCTGAGTTGCTCACTGAAAGTGAGAGTGTAAGATAGACTGATTAAGCCTAAAATAACAACTATAGTAGTCAGCTTCATCTTGATGACCTAATTATTATACCGAATTGATCAACTCATCGGCATAAATAGGGGTTTTGGGGTTTTGGGGTTTTGGGGTTTTGGGGTTTTGGGG